TTTCGTATTTTTAAATTTATGGGTTTTATAGCTCTAAAATATATACACCTTCAAGTGTAGTACATTTTACTTCTATAGTGGGCATACTCTGTGCATGACAGAGTTATGTCATGTCTATATAAAATATTAACTGACTTGAAATGTTTAAAGTTTTGTCAAACTGAATATAAAGCCATCCATTATCCTTTTGAGCTTTAGAATTTTTAAGGCTAAAGTTTTATCAAGAAAAACTTGAAGAGTTCCAGATCACCGTACTGTCAAGCCCCAAACAGCAGCCAGTGTCATTTAGCTTGCTCTCAGCGATAAAAGCGACTGCGCTGACAAAAAGGGAAGGGTTGAGAAAACCGTGGTCAATATTTCATGTTTTTTTCTGCAATTCAGAAACAGTTGTGATCTCACCATTCAAGAAGACAGAATGTCTTTGGTTATCAAGAAAATACACACTCCCTTTTCCACAGGCTCTAATTAAAGAGGAAAAGTTCAATCAGGCAGCATTAGCAGTGACATTGATGTACTGCTTATGCTTCGAGATCCTTACTTGTGTTTACTTGAGCCGTTTAGGCCAAAGTGACTTATTCCTACACCAATCTAGATTAATTATCAAACAATTGATAATATTAAAATGCAAAGCAGATAGCAAGGACCCACCTTAACAATCATTTTAATTGATGTTCAGCAAACAACAACCTATTCCAGTGCTTCAACTATTATTAGTTAAGATGCATAGTACATTCTTCTCAGACAGAGTGAAAATGTGAACGTGGATGCCTGTTCTCTGAGGAAAGACACATATATCTCTGTTTATTCCCCCATGTTTCATCATGTAGGGTAACATCATATGAAACAGACATAAACACCAGTAGTCTCATTTTTACTACAAGACAGTGAGAGATGTACGGATAGTTTTGGAGCATGACCCAAAAATGGAGCTAAAGCTCAATAAATCGCTCCCTGAAATTCATGTCTTTCTTCAGCGTCTCTTAAGGCCATTCAAATAAAAAGAACACACAATACACAATAACCTGCATCATATTATTGTGTATATTTGGATGGGTGACCCATACTAAAACTTTAATTACAATGTTTTAAGGTATTTCTTGATAACATTTTAATAGGGATGATAAGAATACTTCATGGTTCCTGAGTGAAACTGTGTTATCAGTTCAGCTACGAGCTGTTCAATGTTGAGGAAACTATATCAACAATTTGTCTCTCAGGAGTTTAAAATAAAGATTTCATGCTGACTATTTTTGATTATAACATCATCCTTGAATTGCAAGTGAAAAGGACAAGGAAGCAAGGATCCAAAGGCTCAGAATCACCTGAACCAATTGGCTTTCAGCACCAAAGACACAAACTAAAGAAAGAATTGAGCATCTTTCATTTCATTTCATACAGTGGACCCTCGACTATTGAGAAACAATTGCTTACTGGAGATGTGGACTCTGTTTTGATTTTAAATTTTACCCAATCGCTCTTCAAGCTCTCCTGGGATGAGTAGCAGAAAACGTGACCACAGAGCCAAAATAATAATTCTTTAATTAAGGGACTGCCGCTTGCTCAAGAAATATTTGAGCAAATATATTTTAAAAAATTGAATGAATACTTTTAATGTTTAGTGATAGCTGTGCGTGAATTATTTGATGCACAAAGTGATTCATTTCATTTCTAAATCAGTGAATTTTTGGTAATTTTAGAAGCTAATCTGGATTGATCTAGCAATTAAATCGATATGAGAAGACACATGATGCTGTATAACAAATCCTTTTTTTTTTTTTTTTTTGTAAACCTGTATTGTTGCAATTCTTTTCTGTGTGTTCAGTCAAAGAAACCAAATTCTGCACAAGCCTCCACAAACCCATCACCAGCAGAGATAAAAACAAACTCCTGGGTGGGTCAAAGGTGGACTCAAGCTTCCCACTTTCTCAGTGCGCTGTGGTCTTACAGACATCCTTCTGAAAGATTCAGACATGACACGACTCTGACTCAGTCTCTGAGCCGAGGTCCCTCTGGATTTCACAGCAGCTCCTCGTCAAGCATGACAAGCTGACAACTTTCAGATTTTCTATGAAACCCCCGATCATGGGAAACTTGTTCTTGTCTTTCATTTTCAGTGTCTTGAGTTCATTTTTCTGAATTTAATGTGGTTTTACTTGGCTTGTTTGAATTCTAACAAGCTGCTGGTCATTGGATACTTTCGAAGTCAGGTGAGAATCTACATTTTAATCTTTTATTTGTTCTCCTTTTTTTCTTTTTAGCAAATTTAACATTAAATTCTTCTTTAACGTAAGGATCTGAATTTGACCTTTCCCCACCTTCTGAGTTATTTCTTGGTGGCTCCAATGTGCCTGCCTCTTTTAATAAATCACAGAAATCTCTCCATGGAAAAAAAATTTAAATATTAGCTTTTCAATCGCAGGCATCCTGATGGCCGTCTGTGTGAACAAAGTGCCGGCTTATGCTAACTGACATTCGGTCAGTAGTTTCCAGATAAAACTCCCTTCCCTGAAAAGTTCAAGTGGTCCGAAAGAATGTGGGGGCTGGACGCTGGGAGGCTGTTGTGTGCAGGAGTCTAAGCTTACATGTGGTTTCATTGGGAACTCTGCCAGGCTCAGGGGTTGTTGTTTTTTTTTTTTTTGTTGTTTTTTTGGTGGCGGGGCAGTGGGGTGGGTTGAAGGGTCACGTTGCTCCAGAGGGGGAAAGTTCTGCTTTTCATTACGTGAACCATTAGATCACATATCTGCTCCGCCTCTCTGACTCTGCTATGTTTCCTGAAATTTTCCTGTCAGTCAGCGATCCAGTCCTCCTCTGTATTGCGCCACAAGTAAAGATAAAGGTGTGCGTGTCTGATTGTGTTTGACTAAAGGCATAATAAGTTTGCAGGGATACGTGGGCAGTGTACAAAAAAAAAAAAACATTCCAGAATTGATTTCAGTTCCTATGGGATGCATCTGAATACTGCTGAAACTGACAAAGCAGCGGATACATAAAACAAAGGAGAGGCGGTATATCTGGCCGTGCAAATATGTTCATGTTTTTTCTTATAATTATCATGTTGCAACCATATGCTTCAATGTATTTTGTGTGGAAAAAATAATAGTAAAGTAGATGGACAATAATGAATGTTTTTATTATTTGTCACAATGTTTTGTGCACATTTATACCCTCCAGGTTTTCCCATAAGTATTGCCACGTGTGTAGCTCCATCTATTTTTCCAGCACAGTTAGTTTTCTACCCAGCATATTTTGAATTTAAGCCAAAAAGTTCCAGTTAAGTCTCATTTGACTGGAGCACCTCCCTCAATATGTTTCTTGTCTTAACAGCATGGCTCAGTGAACTGGGAACAAGATTTATTAAATGTTTTCTTTTTGCCACGGTTCAATAACTGTCGTACACATTTCCTAGTTGTCTCATATCAACACATTCCCCTACCTGAGCCGTGGATCTCTGCAGCTCTGCCAGAGTTACCATGATTTTTTATTTATTTATTTTATTTTTTGCCTGCTCCTCCACTTCTTGCAGTTTAGTTGGGCGGCTCTGCCTTGGTGGATTTGCTGTTGTGCCATTCTCCTCATTTTCACCCACCGTCCGTTTACCAGCTCCAGGACCCGACCAAAACCCCTCAGTGTCAATTACCTTGAGAAATAATGAGTTTTGGTTAAGTGTAAAACTGGTTTTAATGCCGAAAATGATCAAATGTTACAAGCCATGCAAGTCATACAAATGGAACAGATTCACAGTGCTGGGCTCCACTCAGCTCACCTTAAGGGTGACACCAAAGTGAAGCAAAGATTGTAGCGCAAGTTCTGCTTTTATCTTCTTCTCATTCTGCACCCGTTCTAAGGGGGTGTTGGTCTGCCTTAATCAGTTTTTATTTATGTGTGACTGTCTTAAATGTTACGGTTATGCAAGCATGTGAGCAGATAAAAGAGGCAGAGGAAAGACAAAGAGCCATTTTTATCCACAACTCTAACAAACATCCAAAGGCCTCATAGAACAGCGAGGCATATTTGGTTTAATAGAAGTCAAAGTATATTTTTACTTTTAAAGTTTGCTGAATCCCACTAAAATATATGTAAAAATGTCAAGGGTTATTGATGCTCCTGCAGCAAATTGTATAGGCACAGCTGCATTCACTTCAATTTTACCTTCATTTATGTTGGCAGCGTTGGAATATAAAGATATTTAGAGAAAAGCATGCATGTAAAAGCTTTTGCAGCGAAACTTAGTGATGTTAGAACCTCTGTATCATTATTATTATTATTATTATTATTATTAAATCTACACGTGAAGTTATTTTTATCAAAATGGTAGACAATTTGTTGGAGTCACTCGAGTTTTAAGTTCTTACAATATGGAAACTTTTTGGAGGGAAACATTATCTGTTTCGATACATTAGAGCCATAAACAGACAGCTGTCTTCAAATACAATAAGTGATAATTCACCGACACATAAAGGAAACAAACTTTTTTTTTTCTTTGTAATTCACGCATCAGCCTGCTTAAAGGGTGTTTTAGAATCCATGTGGCAAAAAAAAACAAAAAAAAACACGACCGAAATCAGGCTGAAAATTCAGACACCTTCAGTTTCAGCGCGCAGTTGTAACATCCCGTCCACAATAAGCGCCCCCTCTTTTGTCCCGCTCGCGGGGCCCCGGTGGTGGGTGGATAAGTGGAGTCACATGGTCACTTTTCCTTTTTCCCACACAAACACACCCACATCCTCCTCCACGCTGCCGCTCTTCTTCCTCACTCCTCGGCTCAGCACTGAGAGGACCGCAGCGGGCAGTCCCGCTCCGTCTGGATACTGTAAAGCAGCAGCGGCACAAGTTGCGCCTCGCAGGCTTTTTACTTTCTTTCTTTTTTTTTTTTTTTCCGCCCACCCCAACACAATGAATCCGAATCGACCATAACAGCCGCGCTGTTCCGCTTTACCCCAGTCCGTGTTGGAGAAAGTCGACATCACGCCGTCCGGGAGGAGTTGGGAGGACTTTTTTTTTAGAGGTAATTATTAATGCGAGGAGTTCTCCATTTGTCTTGTTTTCTTTAATTCGAGTTTCACTTTTATGTGCATCATCTTCTGTGTTGCTTTTTTTTTTTTTTTTTGGTTTAAATGCTTTAAAGTTGTCTGCTTTGTTGTAGTGCTGTAATCCCAACTTTTAAGCAGGCCTAATGTAAATGCAGTCTCCTACCTCCTCCTCCTCCACATCCAGGTGCAAACTGCTTTCAACGTGAGCTCGTTTACAACAGGCCCTTACCTTTGTTTATCCTGCACCATGCTTTACAGTTTCCCTGAGTGGGGAGAGAGGGGGGGGGGGGGGGTGGGTTTTTAAGCCTAACATTTGGGGGTGAAAGAGCTCTTGGATCTACATGCATCAGTGGTCTTGTTGTGGAATTATAGTCCAACGAGTTCCCTTCTTCCATCATGTTCAAAGCATCTCTGACTAATGCAGCTTTGCACAAATCTGCCTCAGTCACAAAACAATGTTCTGGTCTCTTTTGTCTATATCACTGTAATTACATGAGTCACCGCTGCAGCCAGAACAGCTTCTTTCCCAGCTAAAATAACACCGGTTGCCTTGACAGCCTGAATCTGAATCTGAAGTTGAGGTGAGGCGATCCTCGTGTTTTTCAGAAAAAAGGAGGTCACCGAGGAGGACCAGGAGGAGGACAAGACATGAGTCTGGTTGACGTGAGGCGAGCGGCCGGGGCCCTGACCCTGCCCCTGTCCGGCAGTGACTCCAAGGAGCACCACTTGGACGGCGCGGGCGACAGCGACCCGGAGTCGCAGCGCAACCGGACCCTGTCGCCGGACCTGAGGCAGGACTTCAACATGATGGAGCAGAAGAAGAGGGTCACCCAGATCCTGCAGAGTCCAGTACGTAGAGTCGAGCTGCATGAGACTGCTTTCCTCCTACACAGAAGCTTTCACTGTGTATGAGTAATGAGTGGTGGTGTTAGAGCCAGAGAGGCAGTGAGATGCTTTCTTTTTCCATGTTTAAAAAAATCTTTCTGCATTTACAAATGTTATACAGTAAATTTGTTTTTCTGTGAAATGCTGCCAAAAAGGTTTAACTTATGATACTGTAAAGGAACAGCTACCTTGCAAAACATGAAAGTATGTCCTGTATCAGAATTTAGTTTTATAGAGAGAAGGAAGATGTAGCATCTCCTACCTTCCCCCACATGTTGCTGAACTCACTTAAAAAAAAGGCTAATACACTTGTTCAACAGAAAGGTAAATTTGACTCCTTTAAGGTCTATGTGGTTGCTAAAATCATTAGTAGTCTTGGCCTGAAACGAAAGGAGTGCCAGCCATCATTCTTTTTTAATGCAGCACTTTGAATTATAGCTAGCAGGGTACCTGCTAAGCAGCCAAGTGCAGATTGTACCACATGTAATATGCTTACTAACTGGTTAATTTCAGCTTGTCCTGCAGGGTTTTCCATACAATGGGGACAACTGTAATATATGGATGTAGATTTTTTTTTTTCTGTTTATGTAAAAGTGTCAAGGAGTGACTTTTGATGTTTATATGTCCATCATTCCTTGGTCCCTCCTTGCATCCCTTAATCTAATCACAGTAAAGTTGCCATAAACTCACAGTGAAGTTTGTATTTAAACATTGAAAACAGGTTAAAAGCAGATGGAGGACTCTAGAAACGTAAATCAGGAAAAGTATGAAATTGTGGCATGAAAACTGCTTAAGCCTCTGGGTAGCAATACTCAGATTTTCTTTTTTTTTGGAAGGAAATGAAGAGACATTAAAATGGGATATACCTTTAAAACTGATGTGATTCTTAAGTTAGATCTCTTCATCAGGTGTTTATTTTACTTTCTGCTAGTGTGCTATCAAAATAATATTGCATATAAATATTTTACATAAAATTATGTTTTATTTTTTCACTCATCCTGTCACAACATTTCAGGCGTACCACATGAAAAACAATGTCGCCTACATGTTCCAGGGCCAGAGATAAGATACTATCTACAACAATCAATATGCTAAAGTATTTTAGGAGCAGCAGGAACACTTTTACCTATTCTATTCTGTTTTAAATTAAATTATTTATGTAATTTTATAAATTTTTATCTAAACTTTTTGCATAAATACAGTAAAATTATGGCATTCTAACCTCATACCAACATAGTTTCTACTTGTTGGGTTATCGTCTTCAAAATCTTCACTCTTTATCTGCATTACTTATTTTTGTTTTTATAGGATCACAGTTTTAGGAAATCATCCATTAATTGCTAAATATTGCAATGATCATGTTATTGTGGCAAAGCCACATTTCCTGACGGCTCTAATCTGTCATTACAATGCTTCAGCCACTCTCTGCGACTCTCAGTATGTAGAGTTACCTGCATGATGTACGGACATCAAGTACAGCAAACTAATTATATAATCGGCATGCAATGCATGAATATCATGCCCACAGTGATATATTCTGATGAGACCCAGTTTTTCTCTCTGTATTTTGATGAAATTCAGAAAGTCTTCCCGAACTGCTTCAGAAAGCTTTTTATTTCTGTACAGCTGAAAGCAGCACCGTCTAAAGCACCGGGAGGTGTAATGCACAAATTGCCAATGAAGTGCATAGAAATAAGACGAGCCCACACTCCTCTTTCATTGCATAACAGGCACAACAAGTGAAACTCATCACCATGGGAACTGTGGATGGATGGAGCAGAATACCAGAGCTCAGCTGTAGCCCACAGAAATAAAATTAAAAAAAAAACGAAAAATATTGCTGTTTCAGAACTCACTGGCAAGTTCTCCATGCAAAAATCGATAGTCGAGTTTAATGTACACCCCCCTTAAACTCTTTGCTTTTAATGAAGCCCCCTTTTCACAGCCTCACAAAGAGCCTTTTAATAAGCTTTGGTGATTTGTGTACAGTGGTAATAAGGAGAGCCGCGCTCCCCGGACACATCCTCTGGAGACGCCGGAATGAGGTCAAGGTTGTGTTTGTCCCAGTTGTCAGGGTGACGCGAGATTTACAACAGTGTTTTTCCTCCTTCTCCTGCCTTGTTTACAGGTGTTCAAAGATGAGCTGGAGGGCCTGATTCAGGATCAGCTGACGAAGGGCAACAACCCCTCTGGTCTCCTGGCTCTCAGGCAAATTGCTGACCTGGTCATGGCCAGCACCGTGGGAGGAGCTGGCCCTTTGACTTCACCCATCAGTGAGTGGCTGTGTTTGCAAAAGAGTCTGTCCTCGACCCTGCGGGCCCGGCTGAGTCTAAGCGCGCTACATGTGTATGAGCGTGTTCTGCACCCTGATTAACCTCATTGTTAGAGGGTAAATTCTCAGACTCTTGTGACGCTCGACAACCCCGAAACTGCAGAAGAGGCACAAAGTTGTTGACAACGTGCTTCATTGTGTGCGTCTCTCATGACCACTCTTGGTAAAGAATTATAGCAGTTTGCAGTGGTAATTATGTTAGTGTGACGGTTTGCCTCAGGGGAGTTTTCAAGGAGGTCATGAAGAAGTTATAAACATTTGGATCATGCCATGGAGGAAGTGGCTGTGAAACTGCTTATGCAAACCTTTCTTTCAAAAAGCCAGAGTGGCTGTAAAAGAAGGCCGAGTTCTGTATCATTATATGTCCTTATATGGAGGTAAAGGCCAAAAATATCCTCCGGTTTCACGTTGGGAATCGTGAGACCTTTTTTAGCCTTGGAGCCGCATTCAGCCGTGGAGACTCCAGTTTCCTGTTTGTAGGAAGCTGGATATAAAATAAAAGCAAAACCCTGCATCTGGAACTCGGTTACATGGTTTCCATGTCATCTGGACAAGTACGGAAAAGGAAGAGTTGCTTTGTTTTGTTAAATTGAGTGAGTAAACACTGAATAAACTAACGTAGACCATGAAGACGTAAACTCTGATTTGCAGTCTTGAATCGGACCAATGCACTGAAGCTGTTATGTCTCGCTGCAGGCTTTGGGATGGTGACTCCAGTAAACGACTTGTACAGCATCGAGTCTCCGTCCTTTGCCAAAGGAGAGAAGCAGAGCCGCTGCAAACTGGCCACCCTCTACAGGCTTGTTGATCTCTTCAACTGGGCTCATTTTACAAGCTCCTACATCACTGTGAGCACAACTTCACTGTCACGCTTCGGTGGACGGCTGCTTATTTATGCAGTGGTTTGCATTTCTTTATGTGAGCTTGGCGTTGTGACCTCTTTAGCGGTCTACAGAGGGAATCCCTCTTTAATTCAG